CATAAGAAAGCCTTTAAATTTGGGGCTACAGGTCCCTGTATAAACAAGTTTTATTTTGGAGACTTCTGGGATATTTCCCCATCCCAAAGTATTATCAGGAAATCCCCATTTATTACCAAGGACTTTTCAGATCATTTGAAATTACCTCAATGTTTTCCAAAATGAAATCTACCTTTCTGTGACTTTCTGTAGATGTTGCCCTGGAACTTAGATGGCTGCCACCATGAAACTTTTTTTTTGAAACCCAGGTTCAATAGAGATCAAGGGAGGCAAGAAAGATCTTGTATACCATAGGTATTCATGTCAAACCAAACCAAACCAGAAGGTCTCCGTATTTCCAAAGACATTTTCTCTTTTTTGGATAGCCATTTGTCTTGTTGAAAATGTAATCTACTACCATATAATTTTTTATAGATCTATGACTGATTGCCCTTATTGTGTTGAATTTAATGTATGGACTGCGGTTAAGGAGGCTCCTGCCAGGTGAGCACTTACATTAACGTTCAAAGTTTCAGATTGAATGACACACTCCCCAGATCTGAAGACAGAGGCCTTTAATTGTGATCTCAACATGAAAGGGTGCATGTAAGACTCATACCAAAACTACAAGCATAACCATACTGTTGTGTGTAAACATTTTTATACAGTAAACACCCCATTCACTAACATTGTCTGAGTTTAACTTTCCTGCCCCAATTTGTGATTGGCTGAGTGCAGGGGCTGGCTGGGTGTGCCTCCGCTCCTGATTAGTCAGGAGGAGGAACTAGACCAGCTTGTCCCCTGGTTGGTAGGAGCCTTGATGATGTGGCCAGGGATCTCTTCGTTGCTTGGCAGGGAAGCCCAGGATTCTCAATCTGAAGGTGTCACCCTAGGTGGAGGGAGTTCTCCAGGAAATCCAGTCCATATTTGGAGAGCTTAAGTCCTTGATCCTAGGACAATGGTCACCCAGATATAACAATAATGGGATTATGGAGATGAAGAGCCCAGGATGCCAGAGTCCAAATGAGGTGATTTTCAGGTCCAGCCCCAGAAATGTTGGAATAAAGAAAAAATCCAAAAATGTATCTTGGACAATGAGTGTCTCCTTGTTTTGAGCCTTGCCCAGTGATAGCTGGGCACCTGAGGACCCTTCCACACAGTCATATAACCCAGAATATCAAGGCAGAAGATCCCACAATATCTGCTTTGAACTGGGGTATCTCAGTCCACACTGCCATATGTTCAAGTTCAAAGAGGATAATGTGGGATTTTGTTCAGCTGTATGGAAGGGGACTGAGACAGTCTCACATGGGATCCAATAAATGCTGTCCTAGCATAATGGCCAGATAGTTCCTGTCCAGGCTGTGCTCTCCAGTTGAGGAACAACTTGACATTCCTGGGGACAGCCAAATCTGGCTTCTTGGAAACCAGGCAGAAATACAGCTTGTCCTTTTCTTGATTTTCCTTATTATATAAAACATATTTCATAAAAGAGATGGAGAGGGGAAGTAAGGTAAATCATGTTAGTTATATTCTATTGAAGAGGTTATACATTGTCCTTTTTCTGAGTCGAGTCCAACTCATGCACGTGTACAGATCAACAGATGTACTTATGATTAATTAACATTTGATGGCCTTCTTTGTTCATGGAATAACCCATCCCAAAGATCCAGGAAATCAATGTGGGTTGAAGACCCCTGTGGCTTGCTCAGGCAGAAATCATATTCGGTTAATATACTTTTGATTGCCTGTGATATGGGGAGGGATTGGGTAAGGCAGGGGTCCACAAACTTTTTAAGCAGAGGGCCAGGTCACAGTCCCTCAAACTGTTGGAGGGCCGGATTATAATTTGAAAAATAAAACATGAATTCCTGTGCATGCTGCACATATCTTATTTGTAGTGTAATAAACACTTAAAAACAATATAATAATTAAAATGAGAAACAATGTTAACAAATATAAACTTATTAGTATCTCAGTGGGAAGTGTGGGCCTGCTTTTGGCTGATGAGATAGGATTGTTGTTGTTGTTATGTGCTTTTAAGTCGTTTCAGACTTAGGTTGACCCTGAGCGAGGGCCGCATCCGGCCCCTGGGCCTTAGTTTGAGGACCCCTGGGGTAAGGGAATAAGTGGTTCTAAGAGGGAGATACATAGTAGCAGGGAGAAGTATACATTGTATCAGAAGGTTGATCGCTTTTGAAAGAGGTATGTGGCCGCAGACCCAGTTCACATATGGGCTAATACAAATCATGTGTACGGACTACTAATAAAATAAATGAGAGTATATAAAATGGGGAATTGGCTTCTGGGGTTTTTTGCTGCCGGTGATTCCTCATGGGATACTATGGAGACTTCATGGAAAGTGGGAGAAAGGAATTCATCTACTGTGCCATGGGTGTCTTTAAATCATTGGGGTGGGGGTGCCATGTTTGACAACACCCTGACAGAACAAAAATACCATGCTTATTATTGATATAAAATGACTTCACACTACATAAAAAACATCAAAATTTGATGCATTTACCCATTTTGGGGAGGACTAGTTGATTAACAGGAAGACCGACATAAGGAAAAGACGTGTTTTGCTTGAAGTAAAGCATGGCTACAAATTTTGTTGATAACAGCTGTTAGAGCATTGATAGTTATAAAATGATCCTCGTGTTGGATGACCTCCCTGGTGTTTGAGGAAGCATTCCCCTGCTTGAATAAAATAATGGAATGACAATAATAGTGAAATACTTTCTCATCAGCCGCTGTGGATCTTGCGATATAGGAGTAAGACAGACTAACAGCTCTAAACTAAACTTGACCTGCCCAGCTTCACTCATAAGATTTCTAAAGGGTATATCCAAAGTGGTATGTATGAGTTTTAGCATCTTTATACTGTGTGAATTCTAACCTGCATGCCTCTCTAAGTGGTTAGGTATAGCATGTATTTATATCATTTTCTTTTTGATGATCTTAATCATATCTTCTCTAGCTCTTCAACAGGTAGTCTGAGTTTGCTCATCCTCTATTTTTCAGTTTGCAATTCTCTCAGCTCGGTATTTCAAGATCTTGTGTTTACAGAGGCTCTCACTATTATATGATATGCAACATTTTATACAACCAGACCTCCACATTTTCAGGTTTGACTTTTGCAGATTTGTTTATCAGCAAATTCAATTAAATTTTCTCTCTATAAATCTTTCAGCCTTCCAGTTTTTTGGTCGTGTCAGGAGCAACTTGAGAAACTGCAAGTCACTTCTGGTGTGAGAGAATTGGCCATCTGCAAGGACGTTGCCCAGGGGATGCCAGGATGATTTGATGTTTTTATCATCCTTTTTACCACCCTTCTCTCATGTCTTCGCATGAGGAGCTGGAGTCGATAGAGGGAGCTCATCCGCCTCTCCTTGGATTCGAATCTGCGACCTGTCGGTCTTTAGTCCTGCCTGCACAGGGGTTTAACCCACTGCGCCACCGGGGGCTCCAGTGAAACCTAGAGTTTAAAAAGAACATTCCTGTAGGAATCTCTAGGCCCTTTAATGTGATTTTCAGCTTCTGTCATACAGTTGCATGGGAGGAACTAAAGCTTCATAGATGTTCTCTCATGTAAAAGTAAAAATCAGAGTGGTCATTTATTTATGTATTTATGTATCTCATCCCTAGCCCAGTACTATGGCCTACAGCTGGCTGACCTGTTGGCAGTGTATAAAATATATACATTTATTATTTCGTACACTTCTATCCCGCCCTTCTCCCTACAAGGGGGACTCAGGGAGGCCTGTGTAGAGACAGAGATGCCCCTAAATGTAGACCACTCTGTTCCCACCTTTTATTCTCCCACACCATGGGCTCAAAATAGAGCCCCAGGTAAGGACCTGCTCCTTACTGAAGTGGGGATTACCATAAAATAAATTAGACTGTTGTTGTTCTCATGGATTTCTGGAAGAGTCACTTTCAAGTAATCTTCTGTGTCAAGAGAATGTGAGCTTCAACAACTAAAGGTTAATCTCATGTTCTTTCTCTGTCTGAACCAACAGGAAGACACCTGAAGGAGTTCTCTGCACAGGTGAACACTTTGTTCTGTTCATTCAACACAAAGCCAAAGGTATCACTTCCCTGGAATCTGACAATACCCTTGAACTTTGAATCTCCCCACGATGTGAGAAATGTGCAGGTGCTAATTGGCCCTTGAGGCACATGATTACGCCAAGTGACTCAGAGAACTATGTGCAAATACAGGAGTGGTCAGCACAAAACCAAATCTTATGTATTTCCATAGCCTTCGTCATAACTACTTAAGCTGAAGTTATCAGCTTGATTCATTTGTGACTGGAAAGTGATGAGAAGTGTTCTTTCTTGGGATGACCATGCATTTATTATTGTTATTTATATACTTCATTTCCACCTCACCTTTCTCAATCCCAAAGGGGACTCAAGGCAATTTACAAATCTGGCAAACGTTTAATGCCGCACAGATAAACAATAAAACACATCTCCTCAAAATATAAAACAAACTAAACATATAAGCAATTAAAATACACATCCATCAATCAATCAAGCAGATTAAAAACCATATAAAATGCCGAGTCATGATCTCACATCCAAAATCGTTTTCCAAAATCCATAGTCCGTTATCCAAGCCGTTAAAGTCTCATTTCGTAGTTTCCTATTCACCAAACGCCTGTGTAAAAAGCCAGGTCTTAAGTTTTGCATGCCACTCTGGTCACATTTGGAATAAGAAATTCAAAATAACTATAACTTTATTTTTCAGTATGACGGGAAAATATGATGGCAGATAGAGTAGAAAAAATAACGGCACCCTTTCAGACTGCATGTGGCTAAATCATTTACAATTACTCCCCAAAACGTCACCATGGACAAACATTCTTTTTGCATCCTGAAATAAATCACAATGAAGGTAGGTTTTTATAAACTATTAACAGCAGAAATATTTCACAGGGAAATGCATTAATAAATTATTATTTATAGTAAATAGTATCTATTGCATCAATTGTAAATGTATTATTGCATCAATTGTAAATGTATATGGTTCACAGTTTAATCTGCTACCTCATGACTCTACCATCCTAAGACTTCATCAGAAAGCCCAGGCAAAGCCTCCTGTCACCCCACACACAGCTCCCTTTCCACAACACTTTCCCTATCACATGGGGAAAGCGCCACACTCACGGACATGCCCTATGCTGACTTCATTGAAGCTAACAAAACACGGGAAACATCTCGTGTTAGGGGGAAATCATTCGGTTATGCTTTCAAAGCCAGTTTCGGCTGGGGCCTCCATTGGATATTACACAATGTCATATGATTTCCAGTGTTGGGCTCCATCCACTAGATGATGAGGTCAATATTATGTTCAAATGCATGGCCTTTTTCAAGTAAGTGGAGAGGTGAATCATATCCAGGTTTTAGTCTAAATTTAAGGTTCCCATTCAAGGTCCTGACTCTTATCTCCAAAATACATTCAGAACTTTATATGGCAAAAGTTATGACATGCAACTCTGACATACAAGCTGCAAGCCATCAACATTACAGTTGGTAGATATGTTCCCTAGCTATTTTTTTTCTTAATCCTAGCACTTGCTCCTGATTCTCTTCAAATATGTGCTCATATTTTGACCATGAATTCATGGTTGTCTACAAAATGATACAAGACAATCCTCATATGCAGGTGATGCCTTGTTTTCTCATTCCTTGTGAGTGCAGCACATACCCTACCATGGATAACTGCCAACTTGATGAAGATTTCTGGTAAGCCTAAGAATTACATTTTGTGAAAGAACTCTTTTGCCCTCCAAATATGATGTCCTTCTCCTTTAAAAGGCAGATACCATCATCATAGGGTCCTTCATAGCATTTGAAGTACTTCCTGAGAAATGCGTAAGTGAAACAAAGATTCATTCAAACCCACTCTTATCAAACTTACATCTCATTTCAGAAGTGTGTATCAAATTTCCACTTAATTATGAAACTACTCATGTCCCAAAACTGTATAAATTCAATTATTTGAAATGCTACTTTCAGGCCATTGCAGAATGGAAGAGTAAGCTAATCTCAGAAATACTAGCATGACTTCAATTTGCATTTCGCTATCGGCTTTACCAGCTGGAACTGCTATTATTATATTTCCTTAGAACACCTTGCATTGTCACTGTTTCGGTTTGCACTGCTGAGTTCTAGAAATTATTATTTCTGTTTTGCTCTTGTTACAGTTGAGCACAACTCAGTCAGTGCAGCCAATTGTTTTTCCAGAATAAGAACTAATCATTTTTGATATATTTCAGTGGGCATTACTCATGTAGGAATCATGCTGGTCAACTTAAATATTTATTCTTTTTCAGCTGGTCAGAAATGAAGCTGTTGCGCCAGTTGTTTTATGTGGCAGTGTTCATAGCCCTTTGCTCTCCATGTCTTGGAGAAGACAAATGTGCTGGAGTTCCAGGAATCCCAGGGACTCCAGGGGCTAACGGGGTGCCTGGAAGAGATGGACGGGATGGCATGAAAGGTGATCCAGGACCACCAGGTAAATACCTAATATACAAAATCTTGTATTTCAAAATTAATTTAGCACTCAGGCCCCATTTACACTGCCATATAATGCAATTTCAGAGTGCTGTTAAACTGTCATATAACTACACTGAACTGCATTATATGGCAGTATAGATGGAGCCTCAAACTATACTTCCACTTTGCTATTTAGATAGGTCTTTGGAATCCATATTTGTTTAAAATGCAAGATCTTGTTTCATTTTATCTATTTGTTTTAATTTTACTGTAACCTGTTTGTATGTTTATTAATTATTATACAAAAAATATGTATATAAATAAATAATATTGTGGTTAACCTCCTTGAGTACTACAGGAAAAAGTATATGGGTAAAATATAAATGTAAGAAATTAATGTTGGACCCATCCAAACTATTGCCAAAAAATAAATAAATAAAGCAAGATGTCTTGCATGAGAAAGTTTAGTTAGGACTTCCTAGAAAGCATTCTCAATCCACATGGACCTTTCCAACTGGCATGAATGGGAAGGATGATGAAGCAAGCTGGGTGGGAAGTTTAATAGAATCAAAGAGTTGGAAGAGACCTCATGGGCCATCCAGTCCAACCCCCTGCCAAGAAGCAGAAATATTGCATTCAAATCACCCCTGACAGATGGCCATCCAGCCTCTGTTTAAAAGTTCCCAAAGAAGGAGCCTCCACCACACTCCGGGGCAGAGAGTTCCACTGCTGAACGGCTCTCACAGTCAGGAAGTTCTTCCTCATGTTCAGATGGAATCTCCTTCCTTGTAGTTTGAAGATTTTTTCCCATCCTAGTCTCCAGGGAAGCAGAAAACAAGCTTGCTCCCTCCTCCCTGTGGCTTCCTCTCACATATTTATACATGGCTATCATATCTCCTCTCAGCCTTCTCTTCTGCAGGCTAAACATGCCCAGCTCCTCATAGGGCTTGTTCTCCAGACCCTTGATCATTTTAGTCGCCCTCCTCTGGACACATTCCAGCTTGTCAATATCTCTCTTGAATTGTGGTGCCCAGAATTGGACACAATATTCCAGGTGTGGTCTAACCAAAGCAGAATAGAGGGGTAGCATTACTTCCCTAGATCTAGACACTAGCTCCTATTGATGCAGGCCAAAATCCCATTGGCTTTTTTTTTGGCTGGGATTACTGGGAGTTGTAGGCCAAAACACTGGGACCCACAGGTTGAGAACCACTGCTCTAGGGGGAGAGGAACAAAATATTTATCCCCTTAGAGATGTTTGTGCTAGAAATTGCCTCTAAATGTTCTGCTAGACACCTGATTGTAGATCAATTGGATTACAAAAACTAAGGGGGAGAACATAACTTTGTATTTTTAAAAAAAACAACAAATAAACAACGATGGGCCATGATTTAAAGTTGTAGATTTAATTGATAACACTTCCATGCAGACTGCCCCAAACTCATCTGTCCAAATCTGAGCCTTCATTTGTACATTATTGCAGTGACAAAAAGACTATTTCTGCATCCCATATCTCCCCAGTAATATATTGATTACTAAAAAACAAATTGAAAGGAAAGAAATCCACCAGACGTGCTGCAATCCATTGGGGACTTGACATATCAGGATTCACTGCCTAATGACAATGGTAAAAATGGCACAGTACGGGCATTCCTGGAGTTACAAACATCTGATTTATATACAACTCTCAATTACAAATATGGGGGTAGTGGCGCTAGGTGGACCCAGAAGTCATTTTGTAGTATTTGAAAATGTTTAAGGATTTACATGAACAGGTACAAATAATTATGTTATGGCATGCAAATTTTAGTTTTGGTTAGTATGGTGTAGGATTAGAGTCGCTCTGAATTTTTTACTGCTATCTCTATTCTCATTAGAAAGATTTAATTTCGATTCTTGCCCTTGAGACAATAGAAAGTGAGGGGAAATCTACCCCTTGGAATGGAAATTACCTATAAGAGTTATCATGGGAAAAGGGTTATTTTTTCTGCAACAACCCAAATTTTTCGAAGTCCAGTTGTCACAGGAACAGAACGCAAAGTGAAATCTTCTGAACAGAGGCAGACAGCAAAACAAATGTCAGGGTGGTGTTACTCTCACCTATGCTATCCAAAGCATCTATCTATCTATCTATCTATCTATCTATCTATCTATCTATCTATAACTGGAGTTGCATTTAAAATGTACTTGTTCTAACTTACTTACAAATTCAACTTAAGAATAAACCTACAGAACCTATCTTGTTCATAACCTGCCTGTTCATAGATGATGAACTTTATTCATGCTTGCTAGTCACACATGTTTTACAGAGCTTGTTTAATGGAGAAATCCTATAAAACAATATTGTTAGTTTTCAGTATCCAGAAAATTAAATAGTATCCAACAATTTAATAAGTCGTGCTTATGTGTTAAGTTACATTGATTATCATCTATTGATATTTTGAGATCAGGGAAGATTTCTACCACTAGAATAATCTCACATTTCATTATCCCAAGAAGATCAATGCAGAATATTTCAGCTATTAAAATTTCCAAAGTAGTTTGCCTTCTTGAGATTATTTTTATCCCCTCCGTTTTTTTCCTATGATCATTACTCAGGAGAGTATTTTTATTACTATTCTATTGTGGTTTTTCCTCCTTTTAGGTCCTATGGGCCCCCCTAACGGCCTGACAGGTGTTCCTGGAAGAGATGGACTTCCTGGCCCACAAGGATTGAAAGGTGAACCAGGAGAGAAGGGAGAGCCTGGACCAGAAGGTAAAACGCAGATGGGAGGCTGTTGTACAACTGCTTATTTGCATTATATAATAAACTACTGGTGAGAAAAATATGTAAAGGATATTGGAGGGGGGAAGGACCAATCACATTTGTCTGCTGAGATAACTGTTCCTGTCAAGAGAAGTTGGAAAGGGGGATTCTGAAAATCTTGGTGAGGCCTGTTTAAGCAAAGCTCCAATTCATTCAAGGCACTTCAGGTAGATCTCCAAAAGTGGAGCATAAGACAGTTTACTGAAAATATATATGAAATAATGGCCTCCATCAGAGAGAATAACTTATCCACCATCATAGGACCTCATCAGATTATCTTTTTTCAGTGTCCTAGGACTCTTGGAGGACATGAGAAGCACGGAGCCATCAGATGACATAGAGCTCCTTCTGGCAGGGCTCCGTGCTTCTAGCGTCCTGCAAGCATCGTAGGATGCTGTCCAGAGAATATGGGAGTCTTCCCATGTTCTTATAGGAAAGAAAAGGGTGAACGTGGGGGAAGTCAGGTAACAACACCCCACTTACCCCACCCGGGTAGGTTAGGTGAGGGGACGATGTGGGCAATGCAGGATTCAAGCCAAAGGGATTTTACAGGATGTTGCTATAAAGTCTCCTTTATGGCAAACAATAGCTGGACAGGGGGCAAACAAATCCCACCAACTGTCCCTCCAATATAAAGAATTCACTGGCACCAATATAAATGTTATGAGGGGATGTCTCTCTAATTAACGTCCGCTGCCACCAACACTGAAAGGTACAGGAACACCCTAGCTGTTTAAATAATAAAAAGGGCTTTTAAGACCACCAAGCACTGTGTCTTCTTATTTGCTTCTTTAAAGGAAAACAATTGAGATTGTTTGAGAAAGGGACTATAGCCACAAAAAGGCACACTTGACTCAGGCTTTTTTAAGTTTCAAAATAATCAAGGAAAGTTTATTGATAAAAATACAAGAGAAAGTAAGTGCTGTTTAGAAATCTTGGCGGTTACAGAGAAAATGTTGATTCTTGGCTTCAAAGCGTAATGGTTACATGTAAAATTGTTCTTTCTTTGTTACAACAACAGAGATTTTCTTCTCTTTAAAACCAAGTACACTTGACAGGAACTGAATCTCTGTCAAGATACAACTGTAGCTTAGCTACCCTAAACTGAGGCCTAGCTAACTACAAAACCAGCTATCTTTTGCTGGCAAGCCTAAGGCAAACTGCCTTCTCTTAACTAATCTTAAGACCCGAACTCCTAAACTACCTTCCTACTCTAATCTCCAACAACACCAGACTGACTGAAAAAGCCTCCTTCTTTCCCTCCAAACCTTGCTAAACTCCGCCCCCTTTTCTAAACCAATCCTGGCTGTTCTAATGCTAACTCAGGCCTAGGACACTCCCCCTCTCTAAAATGGTGTTTTCCCTAAACTAAAATGGCTACTGCTGCCCTCTGCCAGGCCTACTGAAGCTGCAACTAACTGGCCTGCTTCTCCTAGGCCCTGCCATCCAGGCTGGAAAGGTAAGGGATCTTTACAGTTGCCATAGCAGCTACATTCGAATTGTAGTGCTATAATTACATAGTGTGAAAAAGGCCCTTATCTTTGAAGTGTTCAGCTGTATGGTAAGAGTTCAGAGCTGGCTAAAAGCTGTCTTCCACCTGATATATCTAAATATTTCATATACAATAATGTAACTCTTTCACTCCATGACAAGCAAGATCACTGTGTCCTGTAAACAAGTAATGCAAATGTCTTTTGCATGAGGATTTCACCCATGACTCATTATAAAAGTCAGTGACTGCATCTTCACTGTAGAATTAATGTGGTTTGACACCATATTAACTACCAAACTCATTGTTATTAAATGATGGAATTTGTAGTTTGGTAAAACGCGAGCTCACTTTGGTTCAGAAGGCTCAAGACCTGCTAAAACTGCAATTCCCGTGATTCCATAGCATTTAGCCATGGCATTTAAAGTGGTGTTAAACTGCATTAATTTTACAATGCAGATGCAGCCAAAAGATGCTTAGCAATGCAAAGGCAGTAGCAGGCCCGTAGCCAGGATTTCGATTCGGGGGGGGGCTGAGTTTGTTTCGGGGGGTTGAGCCTAAGTGAAAGAGGGTCTACCCTAGCAAACCTTTTGTATCGTGACCCCAATACCCCCATGCATATGGGATATATTGAGTATGGTGATCAGATCATGATATGAATAAACATAACAGTTTAAATAATGCACCTGTAAGGCCTTTTCGCAGACCACCATGAGAATTTCGGGGGGGGGGGGCTGAAGCCCCCAAGCCCCCCCCCCCCCCCCGGTCCGTCCGTCTACATGCCTGGGCAGTAGGAAAAGAGAGAGACTGTTTTTTCAATTGACAGACTCAATCAAGAAAGCCACATCACTGAGCCACATCACTGACTCCCAACAAGGCTGATGGTGATAGGGTGACTTGGAGGGATCATCTTCATAGGAACACCATAGGTTTGAGGACTTGATCACATAAAGCCACCATTCCACATTAGCCATATGATAGATATGTATCAGGAAGATCACCTGTGATATTACACCTTTCTTCATTTGCACAAATGCACCAATTTGCCAGTCTGTGGCCCTGCAATGTCTCTTCTACATACCATAGGATCCCTGCCTTCCTGTACTTCTGGTGCTCCAAAATTTCCTTAGAACAATTCTGCATGTTCAGCAATTAATAATGAAAAGTGGAAATATGTCTGTAAAATATTAAATAAACATAAAGCATACAGATAGGGAATAGGGAGTGAGATAATAAATTGACTTTACTGTTGACATGCTGGCACAGAACTGGAATTGATTCATCATACAAGGTAGGTGATGGGAATATTGCAGAATTGTGAGCTATTGATGTATTTTGCCCATCTTATAGCAGGGGATGGGTTGATTGCATAGAAAAGGTAGATTGGCAGCTTGGTGCACAAAATGTTTCCCTGCATTGTGTGATAAAGTCCAACATTGACTTTACAGCAATTAACAAAATATTCTTGCTACATGCACACTTTTAAATGCCTTTAAAAGAAGATTAGACTTCAGTCAGAACACAGGTTATAAATGAAGTTGGTGGAGTCCTACACATACACTCTCCAATATATAAAACTCTCCAATATATAAAAAGCGGTAGTCTCATGGGTATTTCTTCTGGCTTAAAACATTAAGAAATGTCAAAAATTGCTTTATGTTTATTATGCTCTTGAAACAGCCTCTTGAAGTTAGGCTGCAATGTAGTTCCGGGAAATCCATAAATGGTCATTGATGAATTTCCAATTATCATTGATAAATTGGACTAAAACATTATTACGTGATCATTGATAAACTGATGTGAATTATTCTTTGCTGAATTTGCTTTCTACTTTGTCCCTATGGTATTTACACCAAATATATTAACTCTCTTTTTCTATTAATATGCAGGCCGGCCTGCTTTTCTCGATCCTGAAGTGCAGGAAATCCTTAGCAGTTTGAATCAAAGAATCTTGAGACTTGAAGGAGGTAAACACTTTGTGAATTCCTTTGCTCTTTACCCTTCCTAATCCTTTTGAAATAATATATACAAATTTGATATGAAACTGTACCTTGCCCCTCTTGAGTAAGTTTGGCTAGAGACAATACCGTATTTACTCAAGTCTAGTGTGTCACTGATTGTAATGATCACCTCAATTTTCAAATGCCTGGGGGTGGGGGAGATTTTCTGGCAAATGTAATGTGCCTATTGGGCACTTTGCACCATCCCCCACTTCTCCAGTTCAGCTGGTGGGACATGATGGCAGCTGCCAACAATGACCCAATCTGTGAGATTCCTGGTGCCCCACATCACCCTCAAAACCCATAAGGAGCCCACACTTTTTTTACACACTCACTCATCCACCCATGTGGCTCATCTTGCCCACTACCAACCTCATTCCATGAACACACCGCCCTATAGCACCATCACTTTTGAAAGTTTGGAAGGTTCTGCTTGAAGGAGAACACAGCCTTCCTCTCTTCCATCTTCTCCCTTATCCCATTCTTGGGAGAGCTCTTCCCAGGAATGAGGCAAAGGGGGAGAGGGGGAGAAGGAGAGGAAGACTGCATTCTCTTTGGAATAGAGTCTTTCAAACTCCCCAAAGGATGAAGAGTAAGCCTGAACCTCCCCCTGCCCCCTCTTGTCTTGTTATTGGGAAGAGGTGTTGCAAGATAGCTGCTCTGCATCTCTTTTAAGAGTTTGGAAGGTTCTGCTCCAAATAGATGATAGCCTTCCTCTTTCTTCCTTTCCCTGCTTTCCTCTCACTGAGCTCCTTGTTAGGTCTGCTTTCTTGAGCTCATTGCCAACAAGGAGCTCAACAAACACTGTCACTCAAGGCTGCTCTGCAGAGAACGCCTGAGCATGATCCACCCATTCTTGCCTTTGACCAAAGATTCCATGTACACCAGATAAGTTACTCTGGAATATTTCTATACCAGAGCTTCCCCGGATTCAGCATATGTCTGCTGAATCCCGAGCCACTACCTACACAATCTAGCCACTGAATCCCGAGCCACTGCCTACACAACCCTCCCATTCTCATGTCTCCATTTTCCTGCACTGCTCCTTGCCAGCCACAGAGCTCTCTGCAAGTCTTTAGCCCTCACATGTCATGTCTTCTGATATAAAAATGATATGCCCACATGATCAGCAAGGAGGAGCTAAATCAATACCCTCCTCCTTGTTGGTCACACAGATGCCCCATTCCAACATCAGCAGATGTAGGAGGTAATGACCAAGTGCTTGCATGGAGCTCTATGGATGATAGGGAGAAAATGCAGCAACATGGCAATGAACAATCAGTACATAATGGAGGTGTCCATCTGGACAGTGAATTGCACCAAAACTGTCCTGATCCAGCTGTTCAGACAAAGTCCAAACAAACACTTCTGTTCCAAAACATTTCAGATAAGAGATACCAAACCTATTGAAATAATAGAGTCTCAGATCTCTAGTTACAGTTATATACTAGGCCTGGGTAACAATGGAAAAATTTGTTTCTAAAATCGATTTGTATTTGGGGGGGTTTTTTGTTTTGATATTTAAAATAATTACAAAATTTTCCTTTTAAAAAGTTCGATATTTACGAAATTTCGTAAATGGTAAAAAATTAACGAATCGATTTCCGAAACAATAACGAATCGATTCGTTAATGGCGGACGCGACCGCGAAATACGCTAAAAAACCTCCAAAACCTTCTGAAGCTTCCCTCTCCCTCTGTTGTTGACTGTTGGTGTGATATTATAATTTTTTTTCACTAATTAAACCATAAAAGTGGCCCAGACATGCGGAAATAATAACGAAACGACCTCAAAACAATAACGAAACGAATACAATATCGAAATACGAAGCATTTACAAAACGTTTTTGAAAATTCGTTTTTTTAATAATTGCTCCAGAATGGTTCGTTATCATTTTGTAATTGAAAAAATTAACGAATTATTAACGAATTACGAATTAACGAAACGAAACCGCCCAGCCCTAATATATACATGAAGGCTGTAAATGCAAGTGATTTCCATGTATTAATGTGAATTGTACAACTAAATAATAGATCATGATGATTTGTCTTCTCTTTTACAGCTCTGTCTTTGAAAGGAATAATACATAAAGTGGGGAGCAAAATATTTGCTACAAATGAACAATTAGTTGATTTTGAATCCACACTTCAAATATGCAGCCATTCTGGGGGATTTGTTGCAGTACCCATGAATGAAATGGAGAATAATGCTGTTTTGGATATTGTGAAAAATATAAATCAATATGCCTACCTGGGAATCAAGGAAAGCCCCATTCCAGGAGAATTTGTGTATTTCGATGAAACCCCTGTGAATTATACAAATTGGCGTCAGTATGAACCAAATGGGAAGGGGAAAGAAAACTGTGTCGAGATGCACACCGATGGAGGCTGGAATGACAAAAAATGTAACCAGTATCGTCTTGTTGTCTGTGAATTTTAAACACATTCTTCAATTAAACAATTCAAATTATATCTCCTAAACCAAAGTAATGGTTGTGGCATCTGGGATTGTAGTTTTATCAAGACCCTTCAGGTATTTGTCAACAGTTATTACACAATAATGGTCTTTATGACAGCTGCGATAAGCAAGTTAACACAAAGCCATCTTTAAAATAGTAGTGTAAGCATGGTAGAATTGAATGCCTATTACGTAATTGATGGAATTTTTTGGCACAGACTTGGCATATGGAGGCCAGAAGATCAGGATTTTCAAGACTTCTGAATGGCGATAATTTCAGTAAAGATTTGTATATCCCTTTTTCTCAAATGTGGTGAAATCCATGCATGTGAAACAAAATTCAGTTATTTTGAAAGTGAGTGCAAAGTGATGGGTGGTTTCATAGTGTATGGATTTTCTCTTTCAGTGGAATTAATTAATAATATCTAGAAATAAATAGATATTTCAATATAAATGCCAAAAGTCCGGAGAGTTCAAAAAACATAACTTTAATAGGTGTCAAGATTTTCATCTATTCACATTAGGCAAGGGAATCACTCAGTGGGATAATCAATTGCACTTGGAGGGCCACCCTTGTTGAGAATCAGCAAACCATTTTAATAATATATTTTCCCTTCTTTCCTGTCCTTTCTCTTCACTTCGTCTCTGAGTTTCTTCATTTTCTGGTTGTATATCAGTATGTCTGTTTATTACTATGAGTATGCATTAAATAAAATGCCAAAAAAGCACCAAAAAGAGGAGGTGTGTCATGATGGAACAATCATGTCGTAGAGCAGTGTTTCTCAACCTTCTTAATGCCGTGACTCCTTGATACAGTTCCTCATGTTGTGGTGACCCCCAACCATAACATTATTTTCATTGCTACTTCATAACTGTATTTTTGCTATGAATCGTAATGTAAATATCTGATATGCCGGATGTAGTTTCATTCACTGGACCCAATTTGCCACAAATACCTGATATGCCCAAATTTGAATACTGGTGGGGTTGGGGGGATTATTGATTTTGTCATTTGGGAGTTGTAGTTGCTGGGATTTATAGTTCACCTACAATCAAAGAGCATTCTGAACGCCACCAACGATGGAATTGAACCAAACTTGGCACACAGAACTCCCATGACCAACAGAAAATACAGGAAGGGTTTGGTGGGCATTGACCTTGAGTTTGGGAGTTGTAGTTTACATCCAGGGAGTACTGTGGACTCGAACAATGATGAATCTGGACCAAACTTGGCACAAATACTCAATATGCCCAATTGTGAACACTTGTGGAGTTTGGGGAAAATAGACCTCGATATTTGGAAGTTGTAGTTGCTGGGATTTATAGTTCACCTACAATCAAAGAGCATTCTGAACCCCATCAACAATAGAATTGGGCCAAACTTCCCACATAGAACCCCCATGACTAACAGAAAATACTGTGTTTTCTGATGGTCTTTGGCGACCCCTCTAACACCCCTTCGTGACCCCCACAGGGGTCCAGACCCCCATGTTGAGAAACACTGTTGTAGAGGTTTGAGTATTGGACTAGGATTCTGGGAGATTACGGTTTTAAAACATGTTCAGCCCAAGAAATCTAATGACCTTAAATGAGTTAAACTAACCCTGCCTTAGACAAAGGTAATGGCAAACTGTTTCTGAATAAAGATTGCATTTTTTTAAAATCCCATAGGATGGAGTCACCATAAGCTGGAGTCAATGTGAAATCATATAGTGGCAGCTGCAGCAACAAGAACAACTTTATGACACACACCAGGCATGTAGCCGAGGGGGGGGGGGCTTGAGGGGCTTCAGCCCCCCCAAAAAAATTCTAATGGTGGTTCGCGAAAAGGCCTTACTGGTGCATTATTTAAACTGTTATGTTTATTCATATCATGATCTGATCACCATACTCAATATATCCCATATGCATGGGGGTATTGGGGTAATGATACAAAAGGTTTGCTAGGGTAGACCCTCTTTCACTCAGACTCAGCCCCCCCCCGAAACTCAGCCCCCCCCTGAAACCCCCCCCTGAAAAAAAATTCAGCCCCCCCCCCCCGAATCGAAATCCTGGCTACGGGCCTAACACACGCATACACACAAATACCATGAACAAGAGCTTCTACTCTGCTCTCATCGTACGGATATGGCAGTCTGCTTACAGATCTATTTTAATGAAGATTAAAATTCTCCTTACTAGTTGCTCTGCAATAAGGCAATGCTAAGGTAGCAAATAGGACAACATGTAACACTCTACCTCAATGTTAAGCTGCCTGAAATTAATTACAGATTATTCATGTAGTATTTAAACAGCCACCAAGTATTTGCTGAGAAAATAACTTACAAAGGAATGTTTGAGAATCAGGATGTTCCTTGCATTTGATGAGTATTTGGGAACGGGTCCAGGTATTATTGAGTTTCATGAGAAAAATTGCATTATGAGGCATTGTTTATAAAAGGCTTAGTTCCACACCACGTAGTAGAGAACTTGTTTTGCTAGGTACCTCAATAAACATGGCTCTGTATTTGGAAGTTCACTGATGAGGTCAACCCATCCACAGAAATCCTTTGATGGAGCAATCTGAAACTTATTATTTTAGAAACTAGATTCCGTGAGCATGGTGGGGCTTATGTCCAAGAAGGCATTATCAGATTTCACAGTTAATCATGTGTTGGGTTACATTCCTGTGAACTATACTTCTCAAACCTGTGTTAAAAGTAAAAAAAAACTAGTAAGGCAGTGGAGCTGAATCAGCTTCTTCATGCTTTCCTGTGCTAACAACATTTTCACATGACACAAAAAGTGAGAAACGCTCAAATGTGCTTTTAAGGTCCCATATAAATAACAATGTGAATTTTGCCATTCTCTGTATACGAGCTTTGATAAATTCTCATATATCAGCTTTGATAAATGTAAGATGTTTAAAGTTTGCAGCCTTAATCTAGAATATTAAAATTATTTTGGTGAGTTTGGAGAAGCTTAATGTTATGTTCCCATTAAGATATGTTATGTCCCTGTTTAGATATGGTTCCTTTATTTAAGCATTTAAAATGAAAAGGCAAATGATGTCCAACCTTACCATTACTAAAATCAGTATCCAAAGAAACTTTATTAAGATACTATATAATCTATTTTAAAGGTGTTAAATAAAAATCCACGTCCAGTTTTACTGCTGTACATAAAAGGCTGGTGGAAAGGGAGGCCACAGCTTTGCTTTGGGTAGCACAGTGTCTTGATCCTGTTTTGTTAGTGAGGATGCAGAACACAAGCTCTCCATCAAATCTTAATAAGTGCAGTATGCCCCCATTTCCATGGGGAATTCATTCCTGGATTTCACATGGATACATGAAAGAACAGATAATAGTAAATCCTACTATTTTTAATGGGACAATTATGGAGATGCCATAAGTCCAATTATGGAGATGCCAAGAAGAGGATTTGGCTGGTACATTAAGCCCTGAGTGAATAAGTGAAATTGTGATCGAGTGAAACCACATATATTGCTTCTATGGATACAGAAGGGTCATATTCTACCAGCTCTTTGAATTATTATAGGAAGCAAATTAGCATCACAATTAATGCACAGGTCCACCCACCACATACAATTTACATACACAGAGAGAAAACATATATGTGATACATATGTGAGCCTTTGGTGATGGTCACTGTCAAACAATATTCTCATTGCTGGTCAGACACTCCCTGTGATTCCTCTGTCCCTAGCTATTAAAGCAGTAGCTCTCAATCCTTCAACATTTCCATCTCCCAGATTTGTGCAATGGGATCCTTCCACTTCTGTGCTAGCATGCCACTAATAAAGTAACTCTGAGAGCAATAATTCTCTTCTTCTCCTCTCTCTCCTTCCTTTCTCTCATTAGCACAGCAGGTTAAATCACTAAGATGCAGAAAAACCTGCTGATCGAAAGGTTTGGTAGTTCAAGCCCGGGTTGGGGTGAGCACCCACCATCACCCCCAGCTTCCTCCACCTAGCAGATCAAAACAGAAATGTGAGTAGATAAATAGGTACTGCTTTAAGCAGGGAGGTAATAAAAGGTACCCATAAGGACATGCCAGCAATTCGATCAAGAGGACATTGAAGGATAAGCTATCATCGAAGGATGACAAAGCTCCTCTGCATGGAAGATGGAGCAACAGCACGCACACACTCACACATGAACACCCCATGGCCAGAGTCAAGCACAGTCTCCAGATGCCAGAAATGGAAAAGTTGGGGAAATGTATTGTCTGTCCTTGTTCATTGCATAATGGCACTGAATGTTTGTCGTATATGTGTTCCGTAATCTGCCCTGAGTCCCCTCAAGGAGATACAATAGAATATAAATAAAGTATATTAGTATTATCTGTCCTATAGTACAGTACAGTACAGTACAGTATAGTATAGTATAGTATAGTATATTTGCCTTTTTTGTTTTTGTTTTTCAATGCTGGGATTATGCAATTACACTACAAATTAAAATTAAGGAACAGCAGTATTGCAAGAAGGCAGGGTTATGAGTGTGTGCAGAAATAAGACCATGGGACCACAGATTGGTAAATTGTCGTAACTGTAGTGATGAAGAAATATGCAATATTTAAGGTACTCACCACAATACATATCCACTATCAATGATCATGCAACAATAGTGGGATAGTGCATACATATGATAAAGTCTAAACTGATTTTATTGTGATCTGATCAGTCAAGATATGAGCACCATTGTCCTTCAAATTTCACTTCTCCAAATGATGAAATATAGTTTTTGGCTCAAAATGTACCAAAATATATAACAAAATGTATATTTTGGAGTAAAATAGGTTTAGAAATTGTAGTTTGACAAATGTATGATTACAAATGCACATTTTCGTCATAAAATACATTACTTCTAAGGACTTTTTCTCTCAAATATGTTTCTTATAAGGTCATTTTCTCTTATGTCAAACAATATGACCGAATATGTTGAACAAAAATTCATGAAGGCCTTTAAAAACAGAAATCATATGTTAATGTAAAACCACGATAAACAGACTTCCTAATCACGAAAAAATATGAAACAAACACTCGAAATATCCCTGATATTTCATGGCTGAACTATGATCCTATTAGAGTTTGGCTTTTGTGCAATCCTCCTTAATTTGATGGTTGATTGATTTTTGCATTAATTCACCTTATTATTATAACGGATTTCCGGAGCGATTGTCTTCAAAGGTCCTAGTTTCAAGGAGAAGGGGGTCCAGCAAAATATTTGACCAAGAAGCTCAGCTGATGGTTTAGCTATAATCTTCCTTTGACATTTCACATTCTACGTCAAGCGTGTCCAATTACTAATCATTTTTGTTCCAACTGTCTGTGGACACACCATGATATGTGGGTAAATAATATACACAAAAGATGTGCCTATTATACTAAAGTGAACAGAGAACAGCTTATAGCTTTTCTGAATCTTGTCTGCATTTGCATCGGGTTTTCCTCCCACATTGAAAAGCACAAGAGATGTGTCATTATTTATGAATTAGATTAAGTTGTATGGAAACATTATATTTGCAAACAACTCTGTAGTAATTTTTCTCAAAGATCTGTTCCCTTGTCCATGAGCTGGATCTTTTTCTCAATATGCTAGATCTTATTTCTAAGAGACAAGGGATTAATATTGTCTGTTGACATCATTCTGCTCTTTTCCTGTGTCAAAGAAACTTTATATAGAAAAGGGAGGGGGAGAAAAATCAAACCATTGGGCTATATAACACGGACATATATATACATCGAGCAATACATTGCCTCTCTCCTTCTTCCTGCAGAATTGTCCAGTAGACCAAGAAGGTAAGTTAAACGCATCTTTGAAGGCAATAGTCTAATGCTCAGTTGCCTGATAGTAAGTCCCATGAAAAGCAATCAAAGTGATATTAATAGACTTGCATCTAGACATGGACTTAAACTTCTTAAATTTACCCACTTTGTAGTGAGCGTGCTGAACTCAGATAATTTTTGTAGATTTTATTTACTGCTTTATTATTGTGTTTCATTATGATCATTTGTTGTATTGAAAAGGAAAAAAAGAAATATAGAATGTGTGGAACAAATGAAGCAATAAATATTTTACTTCTGAATGGAACTGTATAAAGTCGAACTATTATTTTCATATGTTCATCCAACTGTTGTTATGTTTTGTTTTTACTATTAATTCCAATAAAATTTTATGGAGATATCTTAATTTCCAACCATATAAGATATTTGTACAGAAGGGGCAAATGAAGGAGACCAGAAGAGTAAAATCATCTTTAAGGGGAAATAATAAATACAATATTTGCTTACTGGCAATACCTAAAAGGAGTGCCTTTTACATCACTTTAAGAAGACCATCATGCCTTCTTAAAGTGATGTATTAATTATGGTCAACTTAAAAGAAAAGAAAGCAAGTGTCATGTTTACTCAGACTAGTCAACTTTTCACTTGGTGTGACTAGTTATTAATATACCTTGGATACACTAGCTGCACCTTTTCCTGGATGATCTGGATTTGGCCTTAGTCATTTTTATTCTAGACACTTCTACACTGGTTCATAATAATGCTTAAAGGCACTGAAGCTGCTCTTGGTGATAGACCAGAAACTTGTATTGGTTCAAAAGGCCCTTCCACACAGCCATATAACCCAGAATATCAAGACAGAACATCCCACAATATCTGCTTTAAACTGGGTTATCTGAGTCCACACTGCCATATATTCCAGTTCAAAGCATAAAATGTGGGATTTTATTCAACTGTGTGGAAGGGCCCTCAGAAAAGCTGATCTGGTCATGTTTGTTTTAACTCCCAACATCTGAACAAAATTCAGTTTTATTACTGAAATCTTGTTAAGGTGCTAGAGTTTTGGTCTTTTTCTTCCTCCATATGATCCTAAATATTGCATTCTGCCCTGAATTGGCAATACTTTAAGTGCATTTCTTCTTATTCCCCGCTACCAACTAATGGTAGTAAATGGCTAATAGAGATGCCTTCTTAGAAACCTCTAGAGCTACCTATGGTGTAATCACCTTTCAAAAAGGAAGAGGGGCAATGATAGTGCCTACTATGATTTATTTATGTACCATTTGTACTTTCATTGGAAATATATAACACTTTGATAATATAGTACAAGTCTCATATCCATAGGAAATGGGTTCCTGGGCCTCTCATGGATATGCAAATAATGGCAAACCTAATTGAATTACATGGTTTTCTGCACAAGAATAGCATAGAGTTGAATACATATTCCATGAATATGGGAGTCATACCATAATTCCATTTCCAATTTATTACACAGCTCAACAAAAAAATCATGGCTTTTTGGCATATTCCTGGTATTGTTTGGGGCACTGATTCAAAAAATTGCCTTGGATAGACCACATCAGCTCTAGTTTCTTGGGTATTGTTATCTATGGGTGAGAAGATGACAACTAGCAAATGGCATATGTTCTGTATCTCAAAAACTAGAGCTGATAGGGGGAAACAAGTGCCATTTTTGGAATCAGCAGGTCAAATATACCCAGAAACAAAGCTAACATTTGAGACACGAAAATGTGTGTTGGCCAATAATTTGCTGTGATCTTAAATTTATCTGACTGCTTTTTCTGCCATAGGGGACTACTAACATCTACAATTATTTCATATATTTTTAATTGTCTATTAATTGTATGGGAGCCTCCCTCGTTATATTGTATATTTATGAGGGAAAATGTGAAAAAATACAATGAAATCATGCAGATCTAATATAAATATATTTTTCTTTGTTCAGTTGATCGAAAACAATGCTGTCGTCACAGCTGGTTCATATCCTTGCAGTAGGAGTTGCCTTACTGGTCTCTTGCCATGCTCTAGAACCCTGTCCAGGTAAGTTGGGAGTGAATCAACTGGGGCATCTACAAAGAGGGTTACCTTTTACCATTGCTAGTTTTGGGGAAAGGAGGTAACTTCATCCTACCTACTGTTGATTGACCAGCCTTTTCAATCCCAGGTTGCTTGTGCATTTCCACAGTTGAATGTCACAAAAAAACCTTTTCAAAGAAAGTTATATCCATTTTTTATATTTGTTGGCAATTTAGTAATGGAAAACTGAAAAGGTATGCAATAAAAATATGGGCAAAATATAGTAATAACAACACACTCGGGGTGGCTAAAATTGTACTAGATGGCTGCTGATAATGCACATGTGCATTAGGTCTACAACATATGAGATTATGGTGCCTTTTGTTGTATCTAAACAGGCACCAGGTTGGGGAAAGGGTCCTTTCTACCATTTCGACCAATTGCTTCCCTAGATTTCAAAAAAAAAAATTCAGTTTAACACAAACACACACATATTTAAATTCATGATAACAGCACATTATTATGCAGATCTAAATTCTCACTCAAAATGATAGATTACAGATTGATAGATAAATATGTGGAGACACAAAAATGTAGTCATATATATGTACAGTATGTATATAAGGTCAGTTTTTTGTGTTTCCACATTATAGGGTCTGGCTGGACAGGGACAGGGAGTTGTGGGTGCATGGCCAGACCAAACACTACAACGTAGAAGTGAAGAAATAAATTGTTTGCTTATATTTTTGCAGAATTTCTCACAATCAGCAACTAATAACTAAACTTCCTTTGGATAAATTGATGGTTTGGACTAAAAATCCAGAAAGACATTAGGTTTTAGTGATTTTGCACAATCTTTGAGGATCAGAATGAAGAGAGGGGCCATGAAGGCAGTTCCATCTTGCCTCCAGTGTCATCAGTTGGGAGCCCCCCCCCCCCTCCAGCACCAACCCCTGCTCTGAGATGAGAATGAAGAGAGGGGCCAGGAAGGCAGTTCCATCTTATCTCCTGCACTGTGCTTATAATATAATATAATATAATAATATAATATAATATAATATAATATAATATAATAATATAATATAATAAGGCTAATTTAACTAATTTACGAGGCCATAAAACTCACCAACAAGCATGCGGGGAATGAGGAAGTACTTCATCAGTGTCGCAGGTGGACGGTAACGGTGAAGCGACGGCTCCCCTGGTGGCCAGAAAAAGTTGGAATGTTAAATAGCCTCTGTGTCTGTCTATATGTGTTGTGTATCTATGGCATTGAATGTTTGCCATGCATATGTACATTGTAATCCGCCCTGAGTCCCCTGCGGGGTGAGAAGGGCGGAATATAAATACTGTAAATAATAATAATAATAATAATAAATAATAATAATAATAATAATATGATATTATAATTATATATTTTATATATTATAGTAAATGTAATATTACTAATAATATTACAGTATAATGTTATAGTACAATGTAATATATAATATTAATATTGTGCTATGGTAATAATATAATATATTGCATTTACTTTTTACTTGTAAGCCGCTCTGAGTCCCCTTCGGGGTGAGAAGGGCGGCATATAAATGTCATAAATAAATAAATAAATAAATAAATAAATAAATAAATAAATAAATAAATAAAATTCTGCAGTGCACTTTTTAAGAAAATCAGAGGCATATTGCTTATTTGCTGAATTTCTTAAAATTCTAATTTGTTGTTGTGTGCCTTCGAGTCACTTTCAATTTATGTCAACCCCATGGCCATCCTATCTTGGAGTTTTCATGTGTTTTCTTTTAGGCCTGGTTGATCAAGAAAAAAATTGTTTCTAAAATCGATTTGTAATTGGGGTGTTTTTTTGTTTCGATATTTAAAATAATTACAAAACTTTCCCAAAAAAAGTTTCGGTATTTACAAAATTTCGTAAATATTTACAAAACATTTTGTAAAGATGGCGGACCCCCGCGCATGCAAAATCACTTCCGAAGCTTCGTTATTGGCGCGGAGGTCGATTCGTTAAGGTTATAACGAATCGATTCGTTAAAATGGCGGACGCGATCGCGCATGCGCAAAAGCGGCTTCCGAAACATCGTTATTAAATACGATTCGATTCGATATTGAGATAATAACGAATCGATTCGTTAAAGCGAATATTTTGTATTTTTTTAACAATAAAAGACAGGTATTTTTAGAAAATATTCAGAAATGGAAAATTAACCCAAAACTGGCCCTGATGTGGACCAAACACAGCCACGAGACAGGACAAACGAGAGCACACACCAACAGAAGAGTCTTTTCTTTTTTAGAATATTTTTTGTATTTTTTTTAAGAATAAAAGGCAGGTATTTTTAGAAAATATTCAGAAATGGAAAATTAACTAAAAACTGGCCCTGATGTGGACCAAACACAGCCACGAGACAGGGCAAATGAGAGCACACACCAACAGAAGAGTCTTTTCTTTTTTAGAATATTTTTTGTATTTTTTAAGAATAAAAGACAGGTATTTTTAAAAAATATTCAAAAATGGAAACTTAACCAAAAACTGGCCCTGATGAACAGATAACACAGCCACGAGACAGGGCAAGTGAGAGCACACACCAACAGAAGAGTATTTTCTTTTTTGGGAATATTTTTGGTTTTTTTTAACAATAAAAGGCAGGTATTTTTTAGAAAATATTCAAAAATGGAAACTTAACCAAAAACTGGCCCCGATGTGGACCAAACACAGCCACGAGACAGGGCAAGTGAGAGCAAACACCAACAGAAGAGTCTTTCTTTTTTTAGAATATTTTTTGTATTTTTTTAAGAATAAAAGACAGGTATTTTTTAAAAATATTCAAAAATGGAAAATTAACCAAAAACTGCCCTGATGAACAGCTAACACAGCCAAAAGACAGGGCAATCAAGAGCAAACACCAACAGAAGAGTCTTTTCTTTTTTAGAATATTTTTTGTATTTTTTTAAGAATAAAGGCAGGTATTTTTAGAAAATATTCAAAAATGGAAACTGAACCAAAAAATGGCCCTGATGTAGAGCTAACACAGGCAGGAGACAGCAAATGAGAGCACACACCAACAGAAGAGTCTTTTCTTTTTTTAGAATATTTTTTGTATTTTTTAAGAATAAAAGGCAGGTATTTTTAGAAAATATTCAGAAATGGAAAATTAACCAAAAACTGGCCCTGATGTAGCGCTAACACAGGCAGGAGACAGGGCAATCGAAAGCACACACCAACAGAAGAGTATTTTCTTTTTTTGGAATATTTTTTGTATTTTATTCAAAAATGGAAAATCAACCCAAAAATGGCCCTGATGAACAGCCAAAAGACAGGGCAGTCGAGAGCAAACACCAACAGAAGAGTCTTTTCCAACAAAGAAGAGTCTTTTCCAACAATGCAAGTCTTTACCGCAACCAACTAAGCCAACCCAAAGCAAGCAGCCCTCCCGTCCCGGACCTCTCTCCTCCCTCGCCTCCGCGCAAATGAGCTCTGCGGCCACGCGGAGCCGCTTTTAAAGGCCTTGCCGGCCAATGAAAATCAGCCACGGTGCACTGCTTGGGTGCTTGGGAGCGCCGGATTGGCTCCCAGGCACCAGCATCCTCCATCCAATTTCCGAAATGGGCGGAAGCTCGTTAAAAGGATGGGGGATGCCGCTTCGATATTTTAAAACCCTTCCGGGTTTGAAAAAGTGTTTTGATATCGCCTCGTAAATGCCAAAAATAACGAATGTTTAACGAATAACGAAATTAACGAACGAAACCGCACAGGCCTATTTTATTTATGTTTGTCCACAAATCACCAGACTGAAGGCACAAAGCATCATCCTCACTATGTCACGGTTTCAGATGTAATCAAATAACAAGACCTGCTGCCTGGCCTTGTCATGAAAACTGAAGTAAAAAAAATTGCTTGAGACTCTCACTTTCATCATATGGTTAAAGACATAACGGCAACAAACTGCATGAGAAACAGCAGCATTGTGGGGCCTTTTTTGCAAACCCGAAGCAAAACAAGTGAATTTTAGTGGGAAGGTTTCACCTCACCTTTACCACTGTGTGCAACTTTTAGAAGAATTGTGTCTACTCAAGAAATTTTGATTTGATTTTGATGAACATACACTTTTTTGAACTACAGCCCGACACTAGGATAGCATTGGGAAAAAAGGTGTTTCCTGAATTAAAAGGGAAATACTTCTTTTGATAACATTTGAAAAAAGATTCTTATGACCCTTTGTTCAGGTCTTTTCATACACATTTTGATCTGTATGAAGTTTTCTTTTATGTGTGTTGCTGTTATTATTGTTCACTCTCGCCCACATACTATTAAGAACCTCATAATATTAAGACCGGGATTTGCCACAGATTGTGGTAAATCCAGCAGGGCCTGGTGGGGGGCATGAGGAACCTCATGCCCCATATCACCTGGCTTCCCCCTCACCCCATACCACAGGGGGAAGCATCTGCCACCCAGCTTCCCCCCATTTTTGCCTATGCAACACAGGAAGCCTCACGTGTTTCATCATGGAGGCTTATGATGCACCCTCATTTGCAGCATGGCCAGAAGTAGATCTATGTCATGGGATGAGAGTCGGAGGGCTCCGTGCCACAAGTAAAGAGGGAGCATCATATGATGGGCAATTCTGCCTGTCTGATGAGGTAATAAGTGACAAGGCGCTGCTCATAGCATTCCCTATTTTCTGAAGAAAATATTATTGCCGTCCCCCGAACAGCAGTATCACACCAGACTAAACCATTCTGGAGCAAGATTTATTGGATATCATTCTATGTTTTCCCTGTGATAGGCTTCAACCCAGGATTTGATTGATTGATTATCTACTTATTAGATTTATATGCCTTTTTGAGGGGGAAATGGAATGGGATTTTAAATACCCCTGAAAACATCATTTGAGTGGGGCAAGCATTAAAATATCACTACTTGAGCTCATCAGTTAAGGATATTACTGGTAACAATGCAAAAGTATGGGGCATTTGTGCCCTTCCAGATGCTCTTGATCTGCAACTTCCAAAAGTTCTAGCCAGCATAGTCAACGAAAAAGGATGATGGAAGCTGCAGTTCAAAATTTGAAGGGACAAGAGTTCTTGCCAATGTATTGCATACCTTTGAGTCTCCTTTGGGAGAGACAAAGCAGAATATAAATAAATATAACAATATTAAATATAATAATAATACCTGTTATTATTCTTCTAATAGAAAATCCCTTTGAAATTCAGAAGCTCTTCTAGAATGTGTTTTCTAGTTTATCAAACTTGTGTTTCCTTTCAATAGACCCCAAAGGACCTCCTGGAAGAGATGGGCATCCTGGTCCACAAGGTCCAAGGGGCAGACAAGGTGAGAAGGGAGATCCTGGAACACCAGGTAAGAGAACAGTGTCTTAACCATTCTCTCTTTCTCTCTCTCTCTCTCTCACACACACACACACACAACATTTATGCATCTTGTGGAATGTCTCTGAAATGTTTGTGCAGATACAGCTCTAATGTGATTGGTAACTCAGATCATATAGGTTTCCTGCTCATAGTAAGGTCTCTTTTCAAATGTGCAAAGGCTGGAGGCAATGGAGCATATATAATTGGGGCAGTGCCCAGTGGTGCAGTGTTAACCACCCTACCATTTATGTAATATTTGCATGTTTATAAATGTCAACGGAGTTTACATTTCTTACATAATCTTAAAATACCTACTTTTTCCATTTCTAAAGATCACTGTGCTTTTAGGTTTGTTATCCAACCCAATGGCGGGTGATTGGGTTCAGCTACAAAGCTTGCACAAGCTACTATGGCATATACTAATTAGTTATGAGATAGCAAATCAAAAACCAACATGGTGTCATTGTTTGGATTTGGATTCTAAAAGAGTAGAGTTGACATCACCACTCACTGCAAAAACCCACTGGATGATCTTGAACATATATCATTCCCCCAGCCTCTGAGGAATTACTATTATTATTATAACACAAGATTAGTCCACAGCAGACACTCTGCTGGCTGTTGTATTGGATCACACGTCGGACACTTCCCAAGTGTCTAGGACTATGTGATGTATAACCGAATAATGCATGCAGATCCCAGTAAGGTGGCCTTCTCAGCTGGCAGATGGTAATTTTGTGTTTAATTTATTATTGTTATTGTTATTACCCCGCTTTTTCTTTCTATAAAGAGACTCAAAGTAGCATACAGCCAAACCAATACAATACAATTTAAAAAATAAAAATATACAAGCATTAAAATGGAATTAAATATTAACAGTATTTTTTTAAAAAAAACAGTTCAAACCACACATACAATGCATTATAGTAATCTAAATGGGATGTAACTAAGGCATGTACCACTGTGGACAGATCTGGCATCTCAAGAAATGAGCACAGTTGGTACACAAGTATTTAATGTGCAAAGGCACTCCTGGCCATCGTAGAAACCTGGGACTCCAAGTTCAGTGCTGAGTCAAGAAGTGCCTCCAAACTGTGGGCCTGTGTCTTCAGGGAAGTGTCATCCCATTCAGCACAGGCTTAATCCCTATTTCCTGTTCTGCCTTCCGACTGACCACGAGCACTTCTGTCTTATCTGTATTAAGTTTCAATTTGTTTGCTTTCATCCGGTCCATTACTGATTATATACTCTGGTTTAGGGTCAAGGTAGTTTCCTTTGCATTAAGTGGAAAGAAGTAGTAAGGTGTCATCACACCCCAAAATTCCAGATAGCCTCTCCCAATGATGCAGCTCCTAACCCTCTCCTGAATAACTGCCTCATCATATTACAGCATGGATCCACTCAGGGGCGGCTCAACCCATTACGCAAAGTAAGCATTCGCAGTATAGTTGATTTTGCCCAGGGGCGCTCTTGAGGCGCTCTTGGGGGAAAATAGACCTTGACATATACGAGTTGTAGTTACTGGGATGTATAGTTCACCTAAAATCAAAGAGCATTCTGAACTCCACCAGTGATGGAATTGAACCAAATATGGCACACAGAACTCCCATGACAAACAGAAAATATATATCAGTGATTGGTTGGGGGGGGGGGGCAAAATACTGTTTGCTTACCATTGAAAATTACCTAGGGCCGCCTCTTTGATACACCTAAGAAATATGTCCCGCCTTCCTGCAGAACTCTGGGTTCTTCTGTACAGTTTAGTAAGGCCCAGAACCTCTCTGTCTGAGGAGTTTAAACCCCACTCCCCTAAACTACAAGCCCCAGAAAATTGTAGGAGGCAGAAACTGGATTTAAAGTGGATTCATGTCCTAGTGCAAACACGGGCAAACTTCAGTCCTCCAGGTGTTTTGAACTGGAAATCACCTAGAAGGCCAGAGTTTACTCACGTCTGCTCTAGTGTGATGACGTCCTGAGTCTTGCCAAGAACCATCAGCAAAGTTGGTGCTGACTAGTAGGAACAGAGCAACAACAAATGAAGTGTCAAAGACAAGAAAAGAAAGCTGAGGAAGGTGTGTACTTTCCAAAGTACCTTCTCAAAAGGAAAGTTAGACAAAAGTATTTGTCTTTCTGGAGCACCAGGTATTATTCAAAAAGGTGTAGCAAAAGTGTAATTAATAGGTTCTGTGCTGCTTTTACATTAATAAAGTTAATTTAATGACATGGAATTAGTGCCTGCAGGGAGTAGGATGCTGTCCCATCCCTTTTCAGATGTACCTATAACTATCCTGCTTCTTTTCAGACCAACATTAATTGTCTGGTGAAACCATCCCATTTTCTTTCTTCTTGCATGTTAAAGCCAATTATTTTCCCCTCAACTTTTAACACTCCATAATAAATACTTAAAATCTTTCAAAAGTCTTTTTTTCTGGCCATACACATGAGTGGATGGAATCTGCCTGAATATATAGTAATTGGTTCCCAAGTGAAGCATAAGGTGAACAAGGAATACAAATACTCCATTTGCTTAGATCCTATACTTGTCACTCATGGGATTGGGCTGTAACACTGTTTCTTCTACAATAGCACTTCAATGCTAGCAAACCCAGAAAGATTTTGTAGCAAAATTCCTAATGGGGTTTACTTCTAGCTACTGTGTTATGAAGACTTGTCTTTGGTACTTCCTTCATGTCATTCGATTATGAAGCATTGAACTCTATAGGCAGGCATGGCTTTTGAACACAGGGACCAGCCACTGGATACTCTCCTATGTGTGGGTTCTGCTACTCTGGTGAATTGAGTGTGTAAAATTTCAGCCTTTCCTAAAATAGCTTCTGACAATTGCCTAAAGCACTGTCATATAGGGATGTTGTATGAACGTATATGCTATCTTTCTCATATAAAGTCCTCAAAAGTAGCTTCTCCTCCTTTTCTTTAGAAGTGAAACTGTGTCTTTGGGTTTTTTTAAACCACAGCCGCAATTCTGTTTTGAAAGACATTGCATAGCTATGATAGCCTTCTATTTTTTTTCCCATTTCCATCCACTCTCACTCACCCATTTCTCTCTCTCAGCAACTGGCATCTACAGGGTTTTCCAATAGTCCCCCAGAGGTCCATGCAAATAACACTATGCAACAAAATTTGAAAAAAAAATATATTCCTGGTTTGAAAGTATTATTTCTTGTTTAATTGTATGGTACTTACTTCAAAAGTAGTTGTTATACTCTAGAACAGGGGTCCTCAAACAGAGGGCCAGGTCACAGTCCCTCAAACTGTTGGAGGGCCAGATTATAATTTGAAAAAAAAATGAATGAATTCCTATGCACACTGCACATATCTTATTTGTAGTGCAAAAAACACTTAAAACAATACAATAATTAAAATGAAGAACAATTTTAACAAATATTAATGTATTAGTATTTGAGAAACTGCAAGTCCCTTCTGGTGTGAGAGAATTGGCCGTCTGCAAGGACGTTGCCCAGGGGACGCCCGGATGATTTGTGTTTTTATCATCCTTGTGGGAGGCTTCTCTCATGTCCCCGCATGAGGAGCTGGAGCTGACAGAGGGAAC